CAACACCTCTCCCTAGTCCTGAAGAAAATCCAGCAAGCTGGCCTGACACTCAATCCGGCAAAGTGTGAATGGGCTCGGCAGGAGACACGCTACCTTGGCTACCAGATGGGTCGAGGGGAGGTGAGGCTTCACGTTGACAAGGTCGAGGCAATCCTGAAGTCTCCAAGGCCACGAACAAAGAAAGAGGTACGCTCTTTTCTTGGGTTGGCAGGATGGTACAGAAGGTTCGTGCCACAATTTGCAACCATCGCCGCTCCCCTCACTGCACTCACCGCCAAAACTCAGCGGAACCCAGTCATCTGGACAGAAGACTGCGAAAAAGCTTTTAACACTCTCAAAGCTCACCTGTGCTCATCTCCTGTGTTAAAGAGTCCAGACTTCACCAAGAGGTTTCTTGTTCAGGTCGACGCCTCTACAGTTGGCCTGGGAGCAGTTCTGGCTCAAGGGGAACCAGGAGAAGAACAACCAGTACTCTACCTGAGACGCAAGCTCCAACCACGTGAGACCCGCTACTCTGCTGTTGAGAAGGAGGGGCTGGCTATCAAGTGGGCATTGGAAAGTCTGCGATATTACTTACTTGGACGAGAGTTCGACCTAGAGACCGACCATCGAGCGCTGACATGGATAAACACCATGAAGGACCACAACAGTCGCCTGACCAGATGGTACCTTACCCTTCAGCCCTTCAGGTTCGCCATTCGACACCGTGCCGGCAAGATGAATGTCGTGGCTGATTACCTGTCTAGGTTGCCCCACAGTGTCGAACTTCCGGAAGGGAGGGATAATGTGACGGAGCCAGTCCGTCTATGATTTTAGGTGGCGTTTCCCCCCCTACACGTAACCGCGGTCTGCACTGGCGTGCCCGCGCGCACACACGCTGAGTCATCCCGCACACACGAGTTCATTCCCCGTTTCCCCGCTGTTTCATTCATTCACGCCGTATTCACTGTTATCGCCTTCTCCCCTCTTTCCTCCGTTACTAATTCTCCAAGGCTGCACACTTGAGCGCGTTAGAGTCATTTATTTCACTTGTCTCGTACCTGTCCGATGACGCCGTCTCTCTCTCCTTCGACGCGGCGCCTCTGCCAAACCGAGCCTTTATTTCCTGGTAGTTGAAATAGGCGCTGTTCGCGCCGTGGTGCTGACCATGTGACGCGCATTATGTAATACGATTTTCTTTACGTTTTTCAGCTATTATTTTTGACATTTAATGTACATTATTACTGTGTGCTCAACGTAGCATAGACAAGGTAGGTTTATGGTTAAATTGTTTGTCTTTATAATGATTTTGATGTATTGCTCAGTGGGAGGAGTCAGGTGGTATAAAGGGGAGCCGTTCCTGGCTGTTAATCAGTCTGCCACCGGGTACAGAGCAGGTAACGTCGGGTGCTGTACAGAATCTTAAAGGGGACAGTTAACGCTGAACTCGACCCTGTTTCTTCGCTGTAAATACTTTTTGGATTGTTTTGCTCACTGTAAATATTCTGCACTGTTTTTGGGATTTTTGCACTTTGGACACGGGCACAATAAACCACCTGCACTCAGAATCTCGATCTTGCCTAAGTTTTTAATAGAGCCCCGCCACGTAGTAGTAGTAGTAGTAGTAGTAGTAGTGGTATTTGTAGTATTTGTAGTAGTATTTGTAGTAGTAGTATTTGTAGTCGTAGTATTTGTAGTAGTAACAGTAGTATTTGTAGTAGTAGTAGTAGTAGTAGTAGTAGTAGTAGTAGTAGTAGTAGTAGTAGTAGTAGTAGTAGTAGTAGTAGTCTCTGTAGTGTCCAGTAGGGGGCAGTGTGTTTGTGGTTTTACACTGAGGAGCTTCAGTGTTACAAGTAAATACTCCACACAAGTAAATACTCCACACAAGTAAATACCCCACACAAGTAAATACTCCACACAAGTAAATACTCCACACAAGTAAATACTCCACACAAGTAAATACTCCACACAAGTAAATACCCCACACAAGTAAATACTCCACACAAGTAAATACTCCACACAAGTAAATACCCCACACAAGTAAATACTCCACACAAGTAAATACTCCACACAAGTAAATCCACACAGTAAATACCCCACACAAGTAAATACTCCACACAAGTAAATACTCCACACAAGTAATATAATATCCACACAAGTAAATACTCCACACAAGTAAATATTCCACACAAGTAAATACTCCACACAAGTAAATACCCCACACAAGTAAATACTCCACACAAGTAAATACCCCACACAAGTAAATACTCCACACAAGTAAATCCACACAAGTAAATCCACACAAGTAAATACCCCACACAAGTAAATACTCCACACAAGTAAATACTCCACACAAGTAAATACTCCACACAAGTAAATACTCCACACAAGTAAATACCCCACACAAGTAAATACTCCACACAAGTAAATACTCCACACAAGTAAATACTCCACACAAGTAAATACTCCTCTTTATTGTCTCTCTTGAATGTTTTTTCTTTGTGGGGTTGAAATGTTCAGAAAATCACAAACTCAATTTTACTTTTTCACCTAATTTCAGTTTTTTCACGTTTTCCCCAAAAGAGGGCGACAAATCCTGAAAAACCAGATCTGACCAGGACCAGAGCAGCAGGAGAAGTAAAAATAGTAGTAGTAGTATTGGTAGTAGTAGTAGTAGTAGTAGTATTAGTAGTAGTAGTATTTAGTAGTAGTAGTAGTAGTAGCAGTAGTAGCAGTAGTAGTAGTAACAGTAGTAGTAGTAGTAACAGTAGTAGTGGTAGTGGTAGTAGTATTTGTAGTAGTGGTAGTAGTATTTGTAGTAGTATTTGTAGTGGTAGTAGTAGTAGTAGTAGTAGTAGTAGTAGTAGTAGTAGTATTGGTAGTGTGTAGTAGTACTTGTAGTAGTAGTAGTAGTAGTAGTAGTAGTGTAGTAGTAGTTGTAGTAGTAGTAGTACTTAGTAGTACTTGTAGTAGTAGTAGTACTTGTAGTGTAGTAGTAGTAGTAGTACTTGTAGTGTAGTAGTAGTGTAGTACTTGTAGTAGTAGTACTTGTAGTACTAGTAGTAGTACTTGTAGTAGTAGTAGTAGTAGTAGTAGTAGTAGTAGTAGTAGTGTAGTACTTGTTGTAGTAGTACTTGTAGTACTTGTAGTAGTAGTAGTAGTTAGTAGTAGTAGTAGTAGTAGTACTGTAGTAGTAGTACTTGTAGTAGTGTAGTAGTAGTAGTGTAGTAGTAGTAGTAGTACTTGTAGTAGTAGTAGTAGTAGTACTGTAGTAGTACTTGTAGTAGTAGTAGTACTTGTAGTAGTAGTACTTGTAGTAGTAGTAGTAGTACTTGTAGTAGTAGTACTTGTAGTAGTAGTACTTGTAGTAGTAGTAGTAGTTGTAGTACTTGTAGTAGTAGTACTTGTAGTACAGTAGTAGTAAGTAGTACTGTAGTAGTAGTAGTAGTAGTAGTAGTACGTAGTAGTAGTAGTAGTAGTACTTGTAGTAGTAGTAGTAGTACTAGTAGTAGTAGTACTAGTAGTAGTAGTAGTAGTAGTAGTAGTACTTGTAG